TTCTGGAGCCCCAACATTCTCTACGGATGCAAATAAATAAGGAAAGGCAGGTCAGGAAAAAATAAGTAAAGTGGCTCAAAGCCCTTATGGTTCAGTTACAAAAAAATAAGAGCTGTATGCCACTCTTATGGTGTGATTGGATTTTCCTGAATCTCTTAATGTAGTTACTGATTCTCAATATGCGGAAGGGTTTGTTTTTTGTGTGTTTTTTTTTTACATGTTGAAACCACTGGACTTATTACAGATGATTCAAAATTAACTTCGCTTTTTATTCAACTACAACAAGTAATCAGAAACAGAAATCATCCATTGTATACAACACATATCAGATCCCATATGGGTCTATCAGGCCCTCTAGCACAAACTAATGATGAAATTGATCAGCTGTTAATAGGAAATGCACTAGAAGCCTCAGAATTTCACAATCTGATATGTTATGTTGCTGGGAGGTTTTGCCTTGTTTCCATGGGAGAAGAAAAGCTATGGGTACCATCAAGATTGATAAAGATTAGATTTGAACAGGAGAGACCTCCACAATAAAGAGAGGCAATAGTTCATCAGATAACTTGGTTATTTAGTCCAAACTAACTTATAAAGACTAACAAATGCCTTTAATTTGATCAGGCATGAAAAATAAAAGTAAAAAATATAAAAATTTGAATGGTAAATTACCAAAAACATACTTACCTTACTGATATAAATGAAAACTGAGTTTTCTTAAGCCATGTGTCCTAATTACAGGTTAAAATGTTAGACTGTAGATTGCCCAAGTAGCCCACACCATCTTGGACATCAGCTTTTGAGTTTTCTTCTTAAATATTTTTATTGTTTAGTATTGAAAACATAGTTAAGAGATTTAAAATGTTTTAAGTAAATTCAAAGGTTGCTAAAGTTCAAAGTTGTTTTCTAAATCTCTAAGAGTGGGAATGATTTGGAGTCAGGGCAAAATATTTGAGCAGGTTGGTGGTAGCCCATTCCATCAATTCCAGCAGAGACAGGCAGATCTCTATAAATTAGTTGTTTTCTGAATTCTAGAGTCAAGTGAACAAAGTGGTGATGGTACACGCCTTTAATCCCATCACCCAGGGACAAAACTCAGATACGAATCACACATCATAGTTAGGGTTACTAGAAAAGCGGCTAATTTCCAATGGACACAGGAACAAATTGCAGCTTTTGCAATTGCCAATAAGTTCTTGGTTCACACAACCCCGACCAATATTGAGCTAGATGATACCCTAACTTTGTATTATTGGTGAATTGACAACTGAGGACTCTTCTTAAAGTAAAAAGAAGTCCACCAATATTTGCCTGTTGACTTCCATTGCAAATGCTTTCCATATATGGAGAATAAATATTCTCTCTTTTGAAAAACAAATTTGTACATTTTACAAGGCATGAAGAACCTTATACTCAGTCATTGCCAAATGCCCTATGGTCATAAGAGCACCACTTACCATGATGGGTTGGGTCTGTTTGATAGCAGACCTTCACAGGCTTATCCATGGGAGGAAAGGTATTACAGTGGAATTGGTACCTATCTGAATTCCTTAGTGACCAGAGTGTGGTAGCAAAGGGTTCTGTGTCTTCCTGAACTGTGAAAATAGCTCAGTTGTCTATAATCCCCATCCCTAAACTGCTCCCACAAAAGAGTCACCATTGCAGAGTCTGGACCAACAGAATGGTCACAGCATTTGGATAATGCATGATTTACGGATGTCTCTTCAACCACTAATGGAACCAAAACTAAATGTTAAGTGGCAGCCTGTTGTGGAATATTAGTTTTAAGATGTGTTACATCCATTTATGCTGTGGGATATTTATTTATATTTTTGGTTGTGAGCCTAGCCTTTAACGGCTCACAACTATCCGTTATGAGATCTGGTGCCCTCTTCTGGTGTGCAGATATACATGGAAGCAGAATGTTGTATACATAATAAATAAATAAAATCTTTAAAAAATGATGGGCATTTAAAAAACTCCATATAGTTTTCTCTCAATGTGGCAAGGCTAGCCATTTGGGAAGAAACAGCTTTGCCTTAACTGCTGACAGTATGCTATATAAACTGGACTTGCAAGATACACAGGAAAGTGATTGCTTAACTTTGCCAAGATAAGGTAGGACTGCCCTTCAGAATTCCTGCTTCATATAGAAGCCTGCCAGACATTCTTCAGGACACACAAAAAAGTGATTGCTGAACTTTGTCAATACAAGGCATGACAGTCCTTCAAAATGCCTGCTTCATAGAAGAGTCTGCCAGATACTCTAGGCCTGTAGGCCAAAGATGAATGCCTCAACCTTGCAGAGGAATTTTGGGTGACTGCCCAAGCAGCCAGATGTCTTTGTCATTTCTAGAGTTTTGGATGTTCTTTGCAATGCACTTCCTGTTTACTCAGGTAATATCATATCCTTCTGTTAGTGTTATTTAGCTTATGCTTGAGCGCCTCCATCTAAAAGAGCCTATCTTGGCAGGGCTCTTCATCACAGTATCTAGTGATAAAATATGCATACAGTTTGTAAATTTAAGAATTTTAGTACTATATTAATGTCAGTGATAATAGCCGTTAAAATATCATGAGTAACCAGAAGCCCTGAGCAGCCTTTGCCAAAAGAATGTTCAGAGTTTCTGGCTAAAGAAGGCATTTAGTCCCTGATCTGGGCTAGAGAGATGGCTCAATGGGTAAAGTGCTTGCTGCTCAGTCATGAGAACCTCAGTTCAAATCAAATCCCCAATGCCCTGTCTCAAAAAAAAAGGGGTGGTGGGGGGAATGGTAGAGGGATTCTCAGTAGTTCCCAGCACTAACACAGTGGCTCACAAACACCTGTAACACCCAGTTTCAGGGTATCCAAAGCTCTCTTCTGACCTGGCGCTCCAATACACGTCTGTCTCTCGGTGTCTCTGTCTCTGTCTCTCTCTCTGTCTCTCTGTCTCTCTCTCTCTCTCTCTCTCTCTCTCTCTCTCACATACACACACACACACACAGTATGTTTTAAAAGGCAGAATAGCCAGGTATGGTGGTGAACCCCTGTAATTCAAGTGTTTGGGAGGCAAAGATAGACAGATCTCTCTCTTTAAGTTCCAGGCCAGCCTAGAAATTCAAGACAGCTACGGGACAACCTAATTAGCAAATCTATTGTTATAGGACTTAACATGAGAGGACAGAGTTGCCAACAATATTGTAAAGGCATTGATTGTGTAGCAATAATAAAGACTAAGCTAAAGACTCAGAGACTTGAGAAAGAGACTGATAACTAGCTGCTTCTGAACACTGTCCTGCCCTCAGTCATTTAATGGTATCAGTGTTTCTCTATGTGCTTTGTGTTCTGGACATGAAAGTCAAGAATCAAAATAACTTTCTGCCTTGGCAGATGAGTTGCATCAGTTGATAGCTAAAAATGTCCTTCTTTAATCCTTCATATATTCCTGAATATTGTTAACAAAGTACTTCTGGAAATAACTCCTTATATTAACTGACAAATAAGATATTTAGTGACAATTAAGAAATTTAAGTTTAAGCTAAGAAATATGAGAAAATTCTCCAATGAATGCCAAAAGTACAGTGGCTGCTGAACTGTTTAAGACAGTGAACACATAGCCACAAAACCCTAGTTTTCAGAATGGGGGGGGGAGGAGAAAACTAGAGCAATGTGTTACATGTTTAGATATGTCCTTAGTAGAATTTTGCAACTATCCTATTACATGGATCCAGTTATATATGGGAAGAAACTCTTTAAAAACAAGGAGGGAAGAAGGGAAGAAAAGAGAGCTCAATCCTAGAGGTAAAATTGCTAGCCCAAGGTTAATTAGGAGTTGCAGAGACAGGATATAAACACACAAAGCTTAAACTTTTTGATTACTCAGCACTTTGTCTATGCAAATTAAACCCAGCATCTTACTAAGAGCAGAGCATACATGTATATTTCTTACTGTGCCTTATTTTAATATACAAAGCAGACACCAAAATGTAACTAAAAGAAGGGAGACACTATAGCAAGGAAGTAAAAACAGGTACAAGGAAAATGTGCAGTTTGGCCAGTGAAAAACATTCATCTTTTAATAAATGAGATAGATATGTATCAGAGAAAAGGAACCCCCAGAAAGACCTAGTACATGTAAGGTCTTCTTTTAAAATAACCCATGAACTTATGAATCGACCAGTGATTAATGCTCATCTCTTAATCAAACATTTATGCAAACAGAAACAACTGGAGGTGCAGTCTAAGATTTTTTTTTTTAATTGAGGCACAACAAGGCATTGTAACTTGTCTGAAGTTGAGGCAGTCAGTTCAGTAAGTGGACCATTAACACAGTTGAGGGTTAAGTGCAAACAATACATATTCACTGTGTAACTAGCAAGGCTACATCACAATTTATAAAGTGCCAGATTAGTGCTAATTGTCATTCTGCTCCAAAGTTTTCACATAAAGAGGAAAACAAAAAAGTAAGGATCTCTTTCTTCCTCTAGGAACAAAATATTTTCCCCAACCAGTCAATCAATCACCAGGGCAAGGATTACTTTTCCTTAGATTCACTAGTGAGAACTTCATTCTTTTACTCCGAACTGAATTTCAATCTTGATAAAGAAGATAGCCGGAAAATGTGGAGTATTTCCAGCTACTTCCATAAATCGCTCCCCTGTGTAAGCGCAACCATATCTGGTCTCCCTGGAGGAGCTGGAGAATGGCATGGTTGCTAGCTGTCTCATGGTCTGGAGCACCATCATTGGCATAGGCTGACACCAAGACCTCCTCATTCTTCATGAGATTGACATACAGTGGTACATTCACGGCCAGCTTTAGCATGTGGAAAATGAATACATACGTGCCATTCACTGGGCAATTGAATCTACCAAGCTGAAGATCAAAGGTCTCACCCAAATTGTTCAGGAGAAGATCAAATACAATAGGTTGGTCTAAAGTTCCAGGAGCCAGATTGGATGTTCTGGCAGCTGAGAAGGCAACTCGCATTTGCTGAGGCAGGGGATAGACGTGTACTGGAAGGTTTCACAGGTCATTTAACATTAGTCAGCTAGTGAAAACACAAGATTCCAAAACAAAAGCAATAAAATATAGCCAGAAGGTCCTGGGAAATCTGGAGTTGACTGCTTTCTGTTTTTTAAAGGTCAAGAAAATGTGGTGCCTTCCTCCCCAAATTGAGTAATTTACCAAAACTCAATGACAAAGACTAAGACCAGATTGGGGCACTTTTTACTTACCTTTCTTCTATAACTCTCATTCAGTTAATTTTTCAGTGACAAATCTTCTACTCAAAGTAGATAATACAAAAGAGCTCAAGATAATTTAAGATTAGAAAAGAGACATCAGCTTTTAGAACTACCAACAACTAAGCCATTCAGAGATGTTCTGACAGGAGGACTAAGTCCCAAGGTAAATGCTTGGTTCTCATTTCCAAGTTAATGTTATAATATTTTAAAATCGTGTGTGTGTGTGTGTGTGTGTGTGTGTGTGTGTGTGTGTGTGTGTGTGTGTGTGAACATTTAGGTGTAGGTACCCCTGTACATGTATAGGAAGCCAAGAGGTTGACATCAGATAGCTTCCTCAGTCCCTCTCCACCTTATTTTGTGAGGCAGAGTCTCCCACTGACCCTGGAGCTCACCAAGAACTAGACAGAATGTCCTGGCAAGCCTCAGAGACCTGCCCACTACCACTAGGGTTGCATATTACTGCCACAGAATCTAGCTTTTTACATGAAAGCTAGGAATCTCAACTCAGGTCTTCATGCTTGCATGGTAAGCATTTTACCCAACACAGCCATCTCCCCAGGCCTGAAATAATAATGTTTTTGGTGCTGTATGAAAAACTGCTCAATATGATCATTTCCTCAAAATAGGAAGACTGCTTTGCTTTGAAAAATGTCTCTTTGCCAGGTGGTGGTGGTGCACGCCTGTAATGTCAGCACTCGGGAGGCAGAAGCAGGCAAATCTCTTTGAGTTTGAGGCCAGCCTGATCTACAAAGGGAGTTACAGGACAGCCAGAGCTACACAGTGAAACCGTGTCTCAAAAAAAAAAAAAAAAAAAAAAAAAAAAAAAAAAGAAAGAAAGAAAGAAAGAAAGAAAGAAAGAAAGAAAGAAAAATGTCTCTTTAGTAATCTTTTTTTTTAAGCAATTCTTTTTCAATTACACTAAATCATTTAATGGTCTCTTCTCATTAACAAGTATGATTAAGTACACTACCCTGTGTTTTAACTGCTGCTTATTCAAATCTATCATTGCTCCATATATCAATGGTATAAATCATACCAATAATAATTTTTGGAGCCATCATTCAGTTCTCAGCACCCATGTGGTTGTCCACAACCATCTGTAGCCCCAGTTCTATGGAATCAGATTCCTTATTTGGAACTTCAAAGGCACCAAGCATGCACATGGTGTACAAATATACATGCAGGCAACACACACACACACACACACATACACACACACACACACACACACAATGAATAAATCTAAAAAAAAGAAAAAACTCATCATTTTTGAACCATCAGACTCAACCTAAAGTTAGCATGTGGCATTGTATCAAAGGTTAAATTGTGCTCATGTAAAGAAAAGAACATTTTTTAAGAAACATACACAATTAAATTGACAGTTTTCATATCCTTCTTGGTAGTCTACTGCCTCATTCAATACTTTAGAATTAAAGTTAAACAAAATGAACTTCAATGGATAAATGCTGAAAGCAATGTGCTTTAAAGAGAAATTGACAGAGGATACAGTGAAATACAAGCATGCTTTGGGCAAATCTATACAGGTAATTACCCTTACCTTTGGAATTGGCCTGAAGACCACTAGATGTCCCTGATCTTTTATAACATTGCTGGAAATTATCCTAAAATGAATACATGAATATTTAACTTGGCACCAAAAGTACAGATTAATTGGCATTTAGGGAACACCATGTAAAAAACACGGTGCTGAGTAATGATGGAAATTCAGAAGCATAGATGGCCTCTGTCAATCATCTTAATATAAAGGAGCATAGTAAAGCAAGCAAGAAGAGCACATAAATTATTCAATATGACCCAGTTTTTAAATCAAATGTAAAGACTAGGGTCATCAAGAAGTCTTAATGGATAAGACACTGTCACCAAGCCAAAGTGACCTGAGTTAAATCTTTAGAACCCACATGATAATCAATTCCTAAAATTATCCTCTGACCTCTATACCTGTACCATGGTACACATACACACACATACAAAACACAGAAATAAGTAAATAAAATAAAGTTTTAAAAGAAAAATACTGGGGCTGGAGAGATGGCTCAGAGGTTAAGAACACTGGCTGCTATTCCAGAGGTCCTGAGTTCAATTTCCAGCAACCACATGGTGGCTCACAACCATCCCTTATGAGACCTGGTGCCTTCTTCTGGTGTGCAGATATACATGGAAGCAGAATGATGTATACATAATAAAGAAATAAAATCTTTAAAAAAAAAGAAAAATACTGGTGTAACCCAAATATAACCATGACAGAAAGTTTAGAAGGCTTACTAAAATGGAATATCTAAATCAGTTTTGTCAGATACAAAAAATAAGAAAATTTGCTGAGTCATCAAATCAGAATATACAAAACAGTTAAACTTATAAAGATGAACTCTACTATTATATATAAAAAGTAAGTTAACTTGAAGGTAATTTAGTGACACAATTTTTTTTAAATCATTTGCAATGTAATTTTTATCCCATTTACTTGCTGTGAACTACAAACAAGAAATTTACCCTCTGGACCTTTTCCTATACAGTGGAAGAGTAAATAGCTTATGTGAACATGTACAGTACTTCACACTTTTAAATTCCTTCTTCCCTTGATGATAGGGAAAATGTTTACCTGTCTGACATCCACAACTGTTCCACAGTTCAGTAGCAATAACTACTTACCCTCTGAGTGTAAGGTGTTCCAGGATATTCTCTAGCTTGCAGCTGCAGCTGATTGTAATTCCCATTGGAAGCTGAAGAGGGTCCTCTATAACTATCAAAACCTAATATATAAACAAACAGCATACATAAAATAATGGGAAACGAAGCTCACTAAACTCTGGCTCTAAAAGTTAAACTAAAGGGAAAAAGTTGGACAGATCTTACAATGTCATCATTAGATATATGTCTTCTTTTTTGTTTTTATAGAATATGAAATTTTATTACTATGTTCCCACTGTCAAAATTTATGGACTTGGTTGGCCTTTCCTTCTTGCCAATAGAGAAACACTGGCTACATTAACAACCTTAAAGCAGACTCTAAGAATAATACCTAAAGCAATAACTTTTATTTGGCAGGTTCTTTGTTGTTGTTTGGTTTTTGCTTTTTAAGGGTTTGGTTTGGGGGGAGATTGTTTTGTTTGGGTTTTTTTTTTTTTTTTTTTTTTTTTTGCTTGGTTGATTTTTCTTGTTTGTTTGTTTTTGTTTTTCAAGAGTTTCTCTGTGTAGCCCTGTCTGTCCTTGCTTTGTAGACCAGGCTGTCCTTGAACTCACAGAGATCTGCCTGCCTCTGCATCCTGTGTGCTGGGATTAAGGGCATGTGCCACTATCACCCAGCCAGCATGATCTTTTTGACCAAATCCAGCAACCAGAACTTGATCATTTTCCTCGATGAAGTTCAAGCAACCATCAATGAACACAAATGCTATGATAGTCTTGGCATTTTTGATAAGCCATACTCTGACAAACTTCCTGGTAGAAGAATTTGTCTGTTTGACTTCAACCCCTAATTTTTCCAGCACAATTCTCTTTGCATGAGAAACACCTCCAAAAGGATTAGACTCTAGGGCTTTGCCCACGCGGGCTTTCTTGTATTGTTTGTCATACCACTTCTGGCTTTGTCAGAGACTGGTGTAAGGAGGCTACAATTTTAGCCCACCTTGTTGGGGCCATGGGCCAGAGTGAAAGAGATCTGTGTCTTCTATAACTAAAAATATACTAAAATGTTTCTACAGCAAAATACCATAACACGGGGGCTGGAGAGATGGCTCAGAGGTTAAGAGCACTGGCTGTTTTCCCAGAGGTCCTGAGGTCAATTCCCAGTAACTAACCACATGATGGCTCACAACCATCTGTAATGAGATCTGGTGTCCTGTTCTGGTGTGCAAGCAAACATGCAGGCAAAACACTACATACATAATAAATAATTTTTTTAAATACCATACTTCTGCTGGCAATTTATTTATTTATTTTGTTTTTTTTGAGACGAGAGTTTCCCTGTGTAGCCCTGGCTGTCACAGAACTCCCTCGGCAGACCACGCTGGCCTCAAACTCAGAAATTCACCTGCCTCTGTCTCCCAAGTGATGGGGTTAAAAAGCATGTACCACCATGCCCAACATTTTCTGATGACTTGGAATGCTGTTAAAATATACAAGTTGGGTTTGGGTGAGGACGAGGCTAACATAATTAGGTACTTAAAACCTCAGTATCAAGTCCTTTTGCTAATATCAAGCTGCCATCACAATACTTGAAACCATAACTAAATCTCAAGAATCCATTATGTGAACTCAAATTCTCTTGTTCTTATCTGCAAGATACTTTGAAAGTAACTTGAAAATGAGCCTTGTCTGATTATGTCACATTTTAAAAGTTAAATCGGGCTGGAGAGATGGCTCATGGGCTGGAGAGATGGCTCAGTGGTTAAGAGCACTGACTGCTCTTCCAGAGGTCCTGAGTTCAATTCCCGGCAACCACATGGTGGCTCACAACCACCTTGAATGAGATCTGGTGCCCTCTGCTGGCATGCAGGCAGAAGACTGTATACATAATAAATAAATAAAAATCTTTAAAAAAAAATTTAAAAAAAAGTTAAATCAATCAGTAAAAGATATCATTCAAATATAAAAATCAAAATCCCCCTTGAAAACCAAGCTGATCAACCCCCCTTCTTCAATATGCTTTGCAGACAGCAAGTTAGGTCTGTTGCAGAAAACAGTTATATTAGAGATACTGGAGGGCCAGAGAGATAACTCAATGCTTAAGAGTACCGGTTGCTCTTGCAGAAGACCAGGGTTCAGACCCCAGCACCAAACTATCTGAGACTAGTACCAGGAGATCTGACAACATCTTCTGGCATCTGCAAGCACTGCACTTATATTCAGGAAAAACAGTAATAAATAAAACATAAGTAAAAGTTTTCTAAAGCACTCTATTACCTACTAATAGACAATTATAAATGGAAATGACAGAACAAAGTCAAAATTGAATCCAGTTTGAGGCAGGAAAGTATATACAATAACTCAGTACACTCGATTCAAAACATACCTTTGTAGCCACCAGGAGACCGATACGGATTCATTAGTAACCTCCCTCCACGTGTACATCCTCTCACAGATGCCTGACTACCGGCTGAGCAGGTCTGGGAAACATACTCGTGGGTGCTGGGTAAAAGGCAAGGTTGCCATTGCTTACTTGAACAGTTCCATCAGGATGGTACCCTGCAACATATATCAAAATATATATTGATATATATGTAACATGCACACCCCTAACCTATATTTTCTCCCTTTAAAAACACATATCAGAAACAGAATATTACTCAAGTTATGGAGGAAGGAAACCTGGCACATGTCACAGTATGAATGAGCCTTCAAGGTGCTACAATAAATGAACTAAGTTACAACTAGAACAAGTATATGATGCCAACTCACACCAGGTAGCCAGGGTAGCCAAATTCAAAATAAGAACCAACAAATCTAAAGCAGCCACTGACGTTACATCTCTTCACAATTCAAATCAGGGGACAGGAGAGATGCTTCAGCAGTTAACAACACTTGCTGTTCTTTCAGAGGACCCCAGGACCTACATCAGGCAGCTCACAACTGCCTGGAATCTCAGCCCAAAGAGATCCAATGCTCTCTTCTGGCCTCCATAAACATGTGGTATACAAACACATATAAATAAAAACAGATCTTTAAAATAACAGTTCAAGATACTGGAGAGATAGCTGAACAGTTACGAGCACTAGTTTCTCTCATAGAGGCTCTGGGTTCCATTTCCAGCATTCATGTGTTGGCTCAAATCATCCATTAACTCCAGCTCCAGGGAATCTGATGCCTTTTCTGACTTCTGAAAGTATCAGGACTTGCAAGCAAAACATTCATAAACTTAAAAATATATATTTATTATTATTATTATTATTATTATTATTATTATTATTATTATTATTTTGGTTTTTCAAGACAGGGTTTCTCTGTGGCTTTTGGAGGCTGTCCTGGAACTAGCTCTTGTAGACCAGGCTGGTCTCGAACTCACAGAGATCCACCTGCCTCTGCCTCCCGAGTGCTGGGTTTAAATACCGGTCTCTGGAGGTTGGGCTGTCTGTTCTATGTGTATAGCTGGGAGTTGGCATTGGGTTATTGTCTGTGTACTTGTTGAAGTAAAATTTTGATTGTAGCCAGGCGAACAAGGGGATTCTTTCATTTCTTGTTCTTTCAGTGGAGGGAGAGGTGCGTTAATATTAAACACCTTTAAAAAAGAGAGAGAGAGAGCACACAAAACCACTGGGTATGGCTCAGAGGAAATGCCTCAATAATACCTGTACAGCTCTACCATTCTAAGGCAACAAACAACTAATAAAGCAGTGAAAACCTGATCATCATTAGTCATCGGGAAATGCAAACCAAAACCACTATGAGATAGCACTTCAGATCCACTAGGACCACCACTGACTGTCAAAATATGAAAAACAAGACTAAGCAAGGAGAAGAAACTTGACCCTCGTTACTGGTGGGAAAGGTAAAAATGGGACAAGCATGGTGGAAAACAGATAATGGCTTCTTATAAAGGTAAATACAAACCCACCAGTTTCATGTCTAGGTATCCACCCAAAAGAAGTCAAAGACTTGAGCAAATATGATATGACCTTAGTAACATTATTCCTGAGTAAAACGAGACACAAACTTCAAATAGTGTTCAGCCATAAAAAAAGTGAAAATATGATCTATACCGCCTATCCAAAAACACTATGCTAAGTGAAACAAGCTGGAAGGAGAGAACCAACTCCATAAGATTGTCCTCTGACCTCCACTTGTGTGTAGATATGTGCCTGCTCTGCACCTGCTAATAAAGGAAATTTTGAAAAATAGTTTCATTTCTAGCTAGAATAAGTAACTTCATAGAGACACAAGTAGAATAGAGGTGCAGGAAGGGGGGAAACACTGGGAATTACAATCTAATGAGTGTTCTGGTTTGCTTTCTGTTGCCATGATAAAACACTCTGACCAGTGTTTTATTTATAAAGGATTTATATGGCTTACACTTCCAAGTTACTTGAAAGTAGGCCTCCTTGCTATTCCATGCTTGCTATTCCACCTCTCACAGAGGAGCTCAATCACAGACAAGGAAGTATGGTAGAAACCACAGAGGAATGCTGCTTGATGTCTCATTCTCAGGATCATTCTAGGCTCTTGCTAACCTAGTTTTCTTATACAGCTTAAGACTGCCTGCCTAAGGAACACACACACACACACACACACACACACACACACACACACAGGGCTGGGCCCTCTTACATCAGTTAGCAATCAAGACAATGCCCCAACAGACACGTCAACGTAACAATAAAACTAACCAGGCTAGGCATGTATTGCATGCCTTTGACCTCAGAACTTGAGAGGCAGAGATATGTGTATCTCTGAATTCAAAGCCAGCTAGGCCTAAGTTCCAGGCCAGCTAGGGCTACAAAGTGAAACCCTGTCTCAAATAATTAAACAGAAACAAAAAAAAAAAAAAAAAAAAAAAAAAAAAAATAAGTGCCAAACCAAGGGATACCTCGCTCTGAGTTCCTGGTCAGTAAGGCTCCAAACAAACACCGGGTATTGCCATTGCTCTTGGTTGCCTATTAAATGGTAGGACCCTATTGCTGCAGACACCCCTCATTTTGGATGAGGGACATAGAGCAATTCACCTGTCTAGGAAAGTCTCTGCCTTCTGTCTTGTTTACATAGAGCCAGAAGGTGCTATGGGAGTTACTGGAAGAGAAAAAGGCATCAAGTCTCACCTTGCAATGGATCCTGCGTGTCACAATACCAACCTGGTGAAATGAGCCAACTGATGCGATAGTGGCATAATGGTTATTAGAGTAACATGCTGCTCCCTGACTGGATATGAGGCCTGTACCACAGGGTTTCACGCCTGGTACTGTAAACCTGGTCGAAAGCTACTGTTAGTGTTTTATGATATATTTATTCTGTCAAGCAGCTTTCTAAATATTTCTGTTTATACCCATAGATTTATGTTGCTTTGAACTCTGATCAGAGAAGCTTCTTTTTGCAGTGGGTGATGGTCAATGCAGACACTAGCTGAGTATAAGTGAGCACTTAGATGTAGATAAATCATTTTTAACAACCACACCTCATCCAAGGCACAGAGAACATGGTGGAAGATGGGGTAGACAGAATTTGAGAGCTGGTAGATGAGAACAGGAGCTGAGAAATGATGACTTTTGAACATAACATGGTGGTTGCACACTTCAACTCACAGTAGGTATGGTCACCTTCATAAAACCTACACGAGTTCAACCCAGTCTTAATTTCAGCATGGATGAAGGAAGGGTCCCCAGACACCCTCGATAGAGGGAACTACGGTAGTCAATGACTGCGGAGGAAGGGGCAGTCACCATTCTTTGGGGATGTGACCCCTAGTACATGACTCGCTTCCCAATGAATGGTCTCACATCCATGCACATACAGGTAACATTAAGTGGACTCAGGGTTATTACTGACAATAGCCATGACATTAGAAAGGAGATAGACAAAGATGGGGGTCTTAGAGGAAGCTGGGGGTGGAGTAGTAGTAAATGGCTATGAAGTAATGGTAGATAGATATGATCAGAACAGATCATATAAATGTATAAGTTTTTCAAAGAATAATTTTTTAAAGATTTTATTTATTTATTATGTATACAACATTCTGCTTCCATGTATATCTGCACATCAGAAGAGGGCACCAGATCTCATAACAGATGGTTGTGAGCCACCATGTGGTTGCTGGGAATTGAACTCAGGACCTCGGGGAAGAGCAATTAGTGCTCTTAACCTCTGAGCCATCTCTCCAGCCCAAGAATAAATTTTTAAAAGACTTTAAAAACTTCAAAGGCAGAACTCCTGCCTAGTGTATATGCAAGACCCTTGGTTCAATCTCCAGCAAGAAGAAAGCAGTTGTTAAATTTCCACCATGCAGGAGTCTTCCAGACACCTAAGCACAAGTCATGAGCTAACACGTGTCTCCCTTTGCCTTCCCTACTCTGACGATTTTTGTGTGCAGTACACTTGAGTATTGAGTAACTGTCTCTCATCTCTCTAATTCTCTCCCTTCCATGGTAAAAGACCAGCTTCCAGAATAGCTTTAGTGGTTTGTTTTGTTCTTCATTTCTGTACCTCTGGTGAATAAAAAGAATTCCTGAGCTAGCATGATAGAGTATACCTTCAATCACAGCATTTAAGAGGCAGAGGCAGGCATATAGTTTTGAATTCAAGGACAGTCTGGTCTACATAGCAAGTTCCAGGCTAGCTAGCATTACATAGTGAGAACTTATCTCCAAAACAAAAATAAAAACCCGTCTCAAAACAAACAAAAAACAGTGCCTACGGGGAGGGAGAGGGAGAAGGGATTGACATGTGAAGCAAGCTTGTTCCTAATTTGAACTAATAAAAAAACAAAAAAAAACAAAAAACAGTGCTAGCTGAATCTCTGTGAGTTCAAGGTCAGCCTAGTCTACATAGTGAGTTCCAGAACATCCAGATCACAGAGTGAGACCTGTCTCTAAAACAAAACAAAAAACAAAAAACCTGATATGTGCTTTTAAAAGAGCTTGAGAGAAGACTCAGCTTTTAGGAGATGCTACTGCTCTTGTAGAGAAGGCTACAGTACAGGATGATCTAATGCCTGTGGCCTCTGAAGGCACCTGCACTCCTATGTACATACCCATACACAGACACATACACATAATTAAAAATAGCAAAAATAAATCTTTAAAAATAGATAGGGCCTTACCTCCTGCTAAATAAAATGAATGAGAACCTGCTTGAACTAGGCAGGCTTCAAAGAGGCAGAACAGATGAAGAAAACCATCAACAAAGAGGGACTCTGACAAAACAACACAAGACAAGCCCAGTAGAGTAGTCTGACAGGTTAGGCAGGACTTCAACAGTTCAGGTAAAGGATTCTATTTCATCATGTGATGAACCACTGTCTGCTTTTAATTGGGAAAAGAAAAACTAAATTTGTGCGACAATATTATGAGGCTGCCAAGGAAAGAAGAAAAGCAAGAAAAAGACCCTCAAACTGTGCAGCCGGAATAGGAGGGTCCATAAATACATGCTACTGAGTTCAGCAGCCCTGGTCTGGGCCTGCTCTATACTGCTCACCCACTACCACTATCCCCAAGGTCCCAGATGAAACACCAACAGGAAAGGCATGTACTGCTATATTGAAAGGTTTTCTCCCCCTGAAAAATTATACAAATCTAG